GGTGGTCCCTTTTATATAGGGCAGGATGGCTTTTCCCATATTCTGTTCTTCTTCTTGGGTTTCGCTCTGTCCTGATGTCCCTTGCCGGATTATACTTCTAATTTTATTTTCATGGAACCCATTTGCCATTAATACCTCTGTGAGAGTCTGAAGCTCTGTTTGTACATGTGCCTTATCTGCTAGATGTTTAGTTCTAGTAATTAAAGTTTTTGCCATTGAATTTATTTGTGAAGGATGATGGTGTGAGTATGTGTTTAGGTATTGATTTGTGTGTGCCTTCTTTTGGTAGACACTATGTTCTAGGGTGCCATCAGTTTTCTTGTATATTAATACATCTAAGAATGAGAGTTGATTTTCAATCTCCATTTCCATAGTGAACTGTATCTTCAGATGCATGTTATTCAAATGTGCTAGAAAATTGTTTAGCTTGTCTTTTCCATGGGGCCAGATCTACATATCTAAGCCATAATTTTGGTTTATAAGTAGTTTGTTCCAACGCCTTAATTTCTAATCCCTCCATGAACAGATTGGAATAATTGGTGGGAGTGGTGATCCCATTGGTGCTCATTGCATTTGTTTATATCTTTGCCCATTGTACATGAAATAGGTGTTAGAAAGGCAATGCTCTGCCAATTTTATGATGTGGTTTGGTGGTTGGTATTTATTTTTGATCATTGCTAGAGCTTCTATACTGGGTACTTGGGTGAATAATGAGAACACATCAAAGCTTACAAGTAGGTCACCCTCTTCTATGCATTGGTTTCTCAGAATTTCTATGAGATGATATGAGTTCTGCACATAAGAAGCAATCAATTCCACAAACTGTTGTAGTTGTTTGGCTAAATATCTAGCCAAGTTTTGTAGCGGAGAGTCTATGGAGCTAACTATGGGTCTGAGAGGTATGCCCTCTTTATGTATTTTTGGGAGGCCAGATAGTTTTGGAAATTTCGATGACTTCTCTCTAGGGATGATTGTTTGTTGAACTTCTTTATCTATGGGACTGGCCTTTATCTTGGTTTTGGTAGTTTTTTCTAAATATGAGGTTGGTCAGTACTTAACGGTTTATACGTAACATCTTGGAGGAGCTCGAGCAACTTTTTGTCGTAATCCACCGTATTCATTATCATCATAGCATTGCCTTTGTCTGCGGGCAGTATGATTATACCGTCATCCTTTCTTAGTTCCTGAAATGCTCTATATTCTTCTCTGGACAGATTACTTTTAGGGGGTTTACTAGTGCAGATAATATTAGTAACCTCATGCCTAATTTTATCAGCATCCTCAAACTTAAGTTTTGTTAAGATGGCTTCCACTTCATATATTATTGTTTCTGTAGGAATTCTCTTGAGTGTTACTGCAAAATTAAAGCCCTTTGTTAAGACGCTTGTTTCCAAATCTTTAAAGTGTTGGTTAGGATTTTAGCCAGAGTTTTAAAAGACCTTACAAAGTGTTTTGTTGGGATTTTGGAGGATTTTGAGCTGAGATCTTAGCCAGGATTTTAAGCATTTTAACTAACAGACTTTTAAATGACGCGGGAAAACACCTGAGATTTTAACGTTTTACATACACACACCCGCGAAAACTTGAGAAGATATATATATACTTCAAGACTGTCTGATTCCATGAGGACTCTAGATGGCCTGCAGATAAAATTAATATAAATATATATTTGGGTCTTTTCCCGTGTAAGATTATAAGAAAATTTTACACGGGAAAAGAACCGAATACACCAAGACTTGCATACCTGTACCCGTGAAAATCTACAAAAACAAATACACACACACACACACACACACACACACACACATCATAGATTTTCACGGGTAGATTGAGAGTATTTTGGCGACATTTCGACAAGGACCCACTCGTCATCTTCAGGCTAGTGTCTTCGGCTTCGTGCTTGTGCGAGCAAAGCATGATCGGAGATGCCGTCTCTCTATAAATACTGGTGGGGAGGTGTGGAGTGCTGGCTTTGTTGTTGTAAGCGGGTTGGTTGGCTGTGTTGTTACATCTTGATTAGTAGATGGAGTTGATGTTTGCAGATTAGTCGGCTGTTTCATAACATCCTGTGTGGCTAAGGTCCTAGCTGTGTGCCCATTAGCCTTTTGTGTTGTAATGACCTGGGTAATGGGTTCTGTGGTAGCATCCTGAGCTCTAGTGTTGTGACATCCTGAGTCCTGTGCTGCAACATCCTGGGTAGTTAGCTGTGTTGTAACATCCTGAGTTCTGTGATGTATTGTCTTGAGCAGATGGTTGTGATGCAACATCCCGGGCTTTGGTTTGGCTCCGAGTCTGAGGTCTTGTTATGTGCTTATGGCGTGTGTTAGTTTGCTTTGTGTGGGGATCGGACCAGTATTTATAGAGAGACGGCATCTCCGATCATGCTTTGCTCGCACAAGCATGAAGCCGAAGACACCAGCCTGAAGATGACGAGGGGCACCTCATCGAAACAACGTCAAGATACTCTCAATTTTACACGGGAAAAGACCCGAATACACCAAAACTTGCGTATGTATGTATGTATGTATGTATGTATGTATGTATGTATGTATGTATATGCATATGCATATATGTTTTCTTTCCTTTTTGTAGGCTTTATGTGTATTTCTCTTTATACACATAGGAAGAACGTAGGAAGAACCTGGCTAAAGAGAAATACATGTGTGTGTGTGTGTGTGTGTGTGTGTGTGTGTGTGTGTGTGTGTGTGTGTGTATTTGTTTTCTGAGGTTTTCGCGGGTATTTGTATGTAGGTCTTTGGTTATTCGGGTTTTGTCCCGCGTAAAATTGGAAGTACCTTGGCGACATTACGACGAAGTCTCATTCATCATCTTCAGGCAGGTATCTTTGGCCTTGTGCTTCTAGGAGCAATGTGTGATCATGGTTATTTCTTTTTTTCAACTGCCAGTGGGGGTATGAACTGATTGGGTGGGAGTATGGCTGTGCTACGAAGGTGTCGTCTACGTATCTGAGCCAGAGTTTGGGTTTGTGATCAGATTTTTCAAGGGCTTGGGTTTCAAAATGTTCCATGTAGAGGTTTGCGATGACAGGTGAGAGAGGTGATCCAATGGGCTCAGATACGTAGATGACACCTTCGTAATCTGGCCACACGGGAAAGAAAAACTGGACAACTTCCTCACACACCTCAATAGCCTACACCCCAAAATAAAGTTCACCATGGAAACAGAAGCTAACAACCAACTTTCCTTCCTGGATGTCTTAGTCTACAAGAAATACAATGGCTCCCTAGGACACACCATCTACCAGAAGAAAACACACACAAAGCGCTATCTGCACGCACTCTCACACCACCACCCAGCACAGATCAACTCCGTAGCCAAGACACTCATCTCCAGAACAAAACGCTTAGCTGAGGAACAACACCTAAAAACCGAACCACACACTCTCACTAATGTACTAACATCCAACGGATTCCAAAGAAACAAGATTATCACCCTAATCCAAAAAGAGACATCCACTAAAATCCAAGACAGAGAACAAGAAAACGGCAAAGCCCTCCTCCCATACATAAAAGGCACCACAGACAGAATAAGCAAGATCCTCCACAAACACAACATCAAGACAGCATTCTGCACAAACCGAAAAATATCCACCATTCTAAGAAACCCCAAAGACAAAACTGAGTTAGAAAATCAAGGAGTATATGAAATCCCATGCACCGCCTGCCCCACCTCATACATCGGACAAACCAACAGAAGAATAAATGCACGCATCGAAGAACACAAAAACTCAGTCAGAAAAGAGGAACCAACTTCTTCCCTAGTCCAACACCTTAAAGCCACAGGACATGAAATTGATTTAAAAAAAACCAAAACTATCGCCAAAACTGAACACTTTAATAACAGAATAATCAGAGAAGCCATTGAGATAGAAAAACGTTCCCACAGCATGAATAAAAGGGGTGATACCTCCCGCCTACCAGCCATTTGGAAACCCGCCCTTATTGACAAACGAATCCCAAACACCAGACCCACACTCACAAAAACCACACAGGACGTCACCTCCACACATCCACGCAAAAAGCAAGCCCAAGCCCACACCGATGATGAGGCATGACCACAAACCAGAAGCCAGACCACAGCTGCATCATTAACCACTTTAAACCCCTCCAATCCATACATGAAGCAAACTGACACACTCTATGAAGATGCGGCACGACCATGAGCGCGGAGCCAAACAACAGCAACGCAGGTCATGAGTTCAAATCCCCCTGCAACTCAGACCAACCTGAGCACAGTCAAGCCCCCACCCTATCAGAACATACCCCCAGCCAATCACAGCACAGCCAACCCCCGCCCAATCAGAGCACAGCCAAGCCCCCTCCCAATCAGAACACACCTCCACCCAATCAGAACACATCCATGCTCCCACCCAATCAGATCATACCCCCACTGGCAGTTGAAAAGAAGAAACAACCACGATCACACATTGCTCCTAGAAGCACAAGGCCGAAGACACCAGCCTGAAGATGACAAATGAGACTTCGTCGAAACATCGCCAAGGTACTTCCAATTTTACGCAGGACAAAACCCGAATAACCAAAGACCTACACACACACACATAGACACACACACACACACACACACATTTATTTATTTATTTATTTATTTATTTATTTATTTATTTATTTATTTGTGTTTTTTTCCCTTCTGCATACATATGCATATAACAGAAATAATAAACCAAATAAAAATAGACTCTGTGCCATAAGTGCCATGGTACCATTTCCTTATCCTAATATTTTTTTAAAAAAATATATTACTAAAATCTACATCTATGTTTAATCTGAATATATTAACAACCAGTTTCCTTCTAAACATTATCAAACATGACAAAATTTCTATCTTTTAGCACATTGCATTATTATTATTATTTAGAATTTGTTCTGTCTTGCTGTTTTATCAAAATGGATTATAACCTCTGGCATCTTTTGTAATAAGATAAAAATTAATATCATGAGAAGCCTTTATTTTCCCAGTACCTTTATTTTCTCTAGCTCCTGAAGCCTCTCATATAGTTGTTCCTGTAGTGCTTCTTTCTCACTGGTCAGCTGTGCTAAGCGCTCCTTCTGAGATTTAATTCTTTCTTTACACTGATGAAGCAAGTTTTCTTTATGTTTTACTCGCTGAGTTAGAGTTTCTATTGTTTTATCAGCATTCTCATTACCAACTACGAACAGCAAAAAAATTATGTTTGGTTTTCATTTGATAGTTCACATGTACCAAAGTCTGCACAGTGCTGCCAATTATATGAACTGCTCCTCTATATGATTAACTCTTCACATGGTTCCTGCTACTTATGGAAATAAGGTTGTCCTTCTATACAACATCTGTTCCATATTTAAAGTTGCTTGGCCCAATACAGCTGCTCAACTAGTTAAACAAATAATTCTTGATTTTGATCTTCAGAATGATAGAGGCAAATCTCATTTCCAGGAACTCTTTTATAGCCCTGCTGGATTCCCACATACTTCCAAACATCACTTCTATTATACCCAGAAGAACACTGATCCTAGAAAGTTTTAATTCATTACCATTAACCTGACAGAGGGAAAGATTAACAATACCGTATATTCAGGGCAATCTTGTATTTAATCAAGACTCACTATAAAGTCAGCCACTGGTTTGTGATCAATGGTATTATCTACTTGTTGACAGTGCCGGCAGGACAGAAATTGAAATTATCCATATCTTTCACATTTTCTGTTGAAAATTTCCAGTAATGTTTCTAAACTCTACTCATCACTACTGACATTAAGATTTGGGATTTAGCTTTTACTTTAGAGCAGCAGTGGGCAATTAATTTTTTCAAGGGGCTACATGAGAGGCTGGTCTGAACCAATGTCCTCAAATTCCATCACCTCAACTCAGGCTACTCCAGGCGAAGAGCAAGTGCTGCACAGGGACAGAAAAATGCTTCTTTTCTCACCCGCCCATGGTTATCAGCTGAGTGAAGGAAGCATGGTGACTGCGCAGAGCCATACCAAACTCTGCCCCCTACAGCATGCTTATTTATATTTGATTTCTAACTTCCAATTGACCTCACACAGGCCGGAAAGAGATATCCAAAAGGCCAGATGTGGCCCAGAGACCATAAAATACCCAGGTCTGTTTTAGAGAGTCTTATGCAAAATATTAATTATGCTAAAAGTTTTCTCCAATGTTCCTTCATTATGTAGCTTTGTTAATGTGCATTACATTTTGGTTTTATTTGTATTACTATTTGTATTATTACTATTGCTTTGCTTTACTCTTGTGGGGGATTTTTGTAAATCAATAAATTAAATACATAGCATAATTTTCTGGATTAATATTTATCAGTCTCATTATTAATTAATTTACTGCATTATTTATGCCAAGGATGGCACAGTGGTTAAAACGCTGGGCTTGTGGGCTGCAAAGCCGGCAGCCTAGGTTCAAGGCCAAAGATCCATGGGAAAGAGTGAACTCCCGTTCTCGGCCCAGCTCCTGCCAATCTAGCAGTTTGAAAGCAAGCAAATGCAAGTAGATAAATAGGCATTTCAGTGGGAAGGTAACAGCGTTCTGTGATATCATGCTGGCCACATGACTAAGGAAATGTCTTCAGACAGCGCTGGCTCAATGGCCTTGAAACAGATATGAGCATCACCCCCTATAGTCAATAATGACTAGGGGAGTAAAATCTGCAGGGATTCCTTTACCTTTACCTTATTATTTATGCCAATCTTTAGTCTTGAAAAATCATTTTATGCCTCATTATGTAATATAATATAAAATAATTAAAAGCAGTTAATAAAAGTTAAGAGCATCCACAAAAACATGGTTTAAAACTGTTTGGCAGTGCCTGACATAGTTTTCATGTTTACATTATTCAAGAAGAGAATAACTGTAATTGGGCCTGCCAAACTTCCATCAGACAGGCATCTTAGAGACGTATAATTTTTGAATGAAAATGTTATTATTCAATTGTCCTCCAGTGTTATAAGGATGTGACATTTTCTAATCTTTATATATTAACCAGAGAATTAAAAAGGAATTTTAAGTATTTGACTTATGATTCTATACTAAATGATAAACAATTTCTAAGAATTTTAATTAAATTTATCAGAGAAGGGAGACAGCCTAAGTGAAAATTAGTTGGCAACGTTGTTTTATTTTTATATTTATTTTAGCCCAGATATTCCAAAAAGAATCACCATTAATTTTTTTAGGACTACTACATAAATGTAACATTTTACCATATTTTCCTATTTCTTTCCCCATTTTATTGCTTCTTGCCTTCTATTTTTTCCTTTTCTATCAAACAAAATATAAAAACAGAACTAAAAAAACCCAAGAAAGTTAAAAAGGAAAAGAATGGAGTAACAAAAGCAAAAGACATGAAAAAAGAAAAAGAAATTTGGTAATATACACTACTATGATTTCAAAGTTATACTGTTTATTTCTTCCAATAATTAAACCTCTAGTTTGTACACAATAAATTCACCCTCTGCAAGTAGAATTTTTCTCAAGCCATCAGCATCAATGGAACTGGGAAGTGAAAATTTTTGCTGATACACTAGGAAATATTAAGGAAAAAAACCCTTAATACTGCTAAAATAGTTTAAAAATTACAAGCGGCCAGCCCTATGTATCGGAACTCTGAAAATTTCCCACTATTCTTTAACATTTAGTGTGTTTTCTTTTTTAAGATAAGAACTTACCAGGACCTGCTGACTGCAAAGTATTTTCCATATTCTGATTTTTTACAGGACTCTGAACTTGTGACTGAGTTTGGACATTTGGAATCGGTAGTTCAATGTTTATCTCATTACTATGCAATTGTTGCTTCAGTAATGATACCTGCATGAGCAAAATATTTATCCATTCAACAGTTAGGCATAAGTTAGGATTTACTGATTTTTTTTTTAAACTAGTTATACAAATTTCTGCATTGTCCTATGTGACTGAAACAGCAGAAAAAGCTGTTAGAAGACAACTCCAAATAAAGTGGAATGATCCATATGGCCTCTGCAACAGCTTTTTCCTGAACTTTCCTTTTGATACATATTATCTTTCAAAATACTGCAAAACATACAGTATGTAGTTAAATACATCCAAGTGAGTTTTTTTCTCCAGTATATTTAAATCATTTTTTCTTTAAGTATCATAAATCACACCATATTAACAGCCAGGTTAGTATAGTGGTTAAGGAAGGCTAAAAACTGGGAGACTGTGAGTTCTAGTCCCATCTTGGACACAAAACCAGCTGGGTAACTATGGGCCAATCACTTTTTCTGAGTCCTAGGAAAAAGGCAATATTAAACCATTTCTGAAAAATCTTGCCAAGAAAACTAATAATTTGTCGAGACAGTCTTTAGAATCAGACAATTTAAAAGAAGAAATATATATATTTATATTACCATCGTTGTATATCAGATTCTCAAAATGAAATGGGCATTTATTTGAAAAGATACAAAGATACAACACATGAAACTAATTATAGATACTTCAACGACAATAATTGGGACCAGCAACTTTATCTCTAAGCATCACAGTAGTGAATTGTGATGTCACGTGACAGCACTAACTTAAAACAGCAGCAGTTCTGATCACTATAGTTAAACAAATCACACAAAGTCATTAGGGAAGATGTTACACAGTTACTTTATTAATGTTGTTAGAAATTCAGAGTGAAGTTGCAAATGTTGGGCATGTGACCATAAGATGCTGCAACCATCATAAAAGCAAGCCAGTTGCCAGTTGCTGAAATTGTGACCATGGGGATGCTTGTAACAGTTGCAAATCAAGGATTGGCCATAATTATTCTTGTTCAGCAGTGTTGTAATGGAACGCTTGCTGATCAAGGACTTTCTCTAAATACCTTACAGATAGCACAGCATTTAGCAAAAAAATAGTTGATGAAGAATAGTTCTTCAAGAATGTTTCGGAAACCTCTCTTTTAAATCAAGCAGTTACCTGTGTCTGCAGGACTCTGATAATTTGGTCCTTTTCCTCTAAGGATGCAGCAAATTCTTCCTGAAGATGCCTCTTCATTTTTTGATCTATCTTAAGTTCCTATCATAATATTTTGACAGAAATATAAAACAACTTTAAAGCATGTGTTTGTAAATATATTCTGTAGAAATCTAAATTTAGCTGGATTTATAACTTTCACTGCTACCATATAAAATCCTATTATAGAACAGTTAGGGTACAATACTATTCTTTTAGTTTTTCCACTTTCCTGTGTGGATCTTATTCTATTTTACGTCACAATATCTTAACAACCTTATTATTTTAAGGAAGTATAAAACTACATTTTAACATGGAGCAGTACAGTAACACTTTCAATCTTTTTAGTACTTTATTAGTATATTTCAAAGAGCATAAAGAAAGAAAAGCCAATCAGACCTTTATCAAGATGAAAAGCTTACAGAAGGGTACAAGTTTTAAAAAAGGGAATCACCCCAAGTTTCTTTAAATGGAAACATAAAGAAAATATAGTTAGGAAAACAGGAAAAAAATACAGAATGAATCTGTAGTGTCTATAATCCTAGATTCCTCAGAAACTTATCAGGAGTATCCCAATTAGAAGACTGATAATAGACAAACTGTGTAGTGAATGTTTCAGAATACAAACTGAACATTCACATAAAATGATTCGCGCCCTGATCTATCCCAATTTTCATAACCAGCAAAACTCATAATTAACTATGCTAACAAAAAACATTGTTTCAAATAAAATAGTATAGTTTAATAATAATAATTGGGAAGACAGCAACAGATGCCACTCTACAAAGAAGCTGGAGAAGCAGTAGACTACCTACTAAGCTGCTGTAAAAAGTTTGCACAAACTGACTACAAACAATGCAGGACAAAGTAGCAACTTTGTCATGCCACTGATATTGATATTTCAAGAAATACCATTTGCCTGCAAGCAAGAAGTGATGGGACCACAAAACAGACAAAGTAATCTAATGTGCTCTGGGACTTTAGAATGTCAAACTCACAGAACTTCCGGTTGGCGCCGCAGGGACACAGACGGGGAAATGACGAGCTCCGCAGAGCTTCGCCAAAACCCCGTCTGCTAAGCTGCCGCCGACAGGTCTGCGGACCTCCCCTGTCTTGTAGGGACAGGGGGACAAGAAGGGATCCCTTGGACGGCCGAGAGGAACGGGCAGGTTCCTCGGGGCCAGAGGCTTTCCCTTCACGCCGGCAGCAGTGGAATGACAGCCATGGCGGCTGTCCTGAAATTGCAGCAACTGGGTACAAAGATCATGCTGGAGGAGAGGAGAAGAAGCGGAGAAGAATAGAGAGCGAGTATCTCGAAGCCGGGTGAGTGACACCAACCCAGGCAAAATAACACATATATTTGGACTTTAAAAAAAAAGACCCCAAACTTCAAATAGCGGCTACAGAGCTGTGGGGCTTGAAGATTGAAAAAGAAAAAAAAATGGAAATGAAGACCCGAAATAGACTTTGCTTTATTAAATTTGGATTAATTGGCTTTTAACAACTCAGTAAATTGACTTTGCTTTTATTTGGAACGGATTGGAGAAATGTCTCTTTGGGAGTTTACACCTTTGAAAGTTAACGAAGCTAATGAAGACAGATAGACGGATGGCTACAAAATTGCCATGGAATCTGCGGTGACTAAGCAGGAAAGTGGATTGAAGATATTTTTCTTTCTGTTTGAAAAAGAAACATTTTAAATGGCTTTTTACTTTGGATTACTTTGAAATTAACATTAGATCTATGGACTTTGGAGATTTCTACTTTGTCCCAGATGATTTTAAGAAGAAAGAAGAAATATTTTGGACATTTGACAATGGAAATTAACAAGTTTAGCAAAAAAAATTAGATGTGGCGCAGGAAAAAAAGATAGGAAGTTGATGCATCACACATGGAACAGACATTATAAAAGCATTAAAGGAATATACAGAATTTTTTAATTTGAACAGATGAACTTTGAAATGGAACATTTATGGACAGACAGAAAAAGGAAGAAAAGGAGGAAATAAAGTAATAAATTTTAAATGTAATTAAACTGAAATGTAAAGATTAAAAGCCTAAAGGTATACATGTTTTTTGGATAAAAACAGAAAGGCTTTTGGAGTAATAAAAATAGAAAATAAGAGATGGCAATTAAAATAGAGGATGATATATAGGCGGTTAAAATAATAAAGAAGAGTATATATTACTGTGAGACAACTTTAAGAAAAATTTACTGCTTGATGTAAAATGTTTTAATTTTAATTTGCAAAAAAAGTTAGATTGATGATTATGCTGGATTAAGGTTTTATTGAACAAACTATCAGACACACAGATATTAGCGACAAATTGTGATTTAATTTAATATATGATGGGAATGATGATTATTATGAAATATATTGAGAATTAATTTGAAAGACTGCGCTGGAAACTGACATAAAATAGATAATTATATGTTAAGGGGAAGTCAAAATAAGAGGGATGGATACCAACTAGATAAGAGTTTGAGACTCAGAGGAAATATGTTGGAAACTAGTTAAAATGCTGGAAATCAGCCAAACACTTACAGGAAAGTTGGAGGAGACTATGCTGGAAATCAGCCAAACAAGAGTGGGAGCCCTGGAGGGGACTATGCTGGAAATCAGCCAAACATAATATGCTGGAAATCAGCCAATAAAATGCTGGAAATCAGCCAAACAAACAGGAGAGTTGGAGGAGAATATGCTGGAAATCAGCCAAACAATGGAGGGAGTATAGGAGGAGACTATGCTGGAAATCAGCCAACCAAAATATGCTGGAAATCAGCCAATAACGGTGGTAGGCTCGGAGGAGATTATATTGAAATTAGCCAAAAATATGTGGTACCCTGGAGAAGAATATGCTGGGAATCAGCCAAACAGAATACTTTGGATAATAGCCAAATAATAGAGGGCGATATGGTGTGATAAATCTGTGTAACATGAAAAGTGTAATAGATGATAAGTTGGATAAAATCAAAGATAAATTGATAAAGTTTAAGATATTAAGAATTGAGGAAAGGGTCAAGAGATTAAGAATTAGATGAAATTTTATCTTATAAAGTGTAATAAAATGGAGTGGTATGGACTTTGAAATTAAGATTTGTAGTGATAAAATTGTAGGGTAAATAATTAGAATAAGAGGTTAGAATATTGTTAAAAAAATTTTTGATGCTGATGGTAAAAGATATAAGGTGAAGAAGAACAAGATATAATTAAGTTTGATATATAGATATAAAAATGAGTGAAAGTTAATTTGAAATTAAAATTGTATTGATATAATGGATTTGCTTAGATGAAGATGTTAGAATTTATGTTAAAACTTGCTTTTTTTTTGTTTTGAATTTTCATTTGTAAAAGATGTAATGGAAAATTGTGAATGGAGCTTGTTAAAGAAATGTAAGCATGGTAACCATCTATGGACCGGATCGAGACTCTGCTCTTGAAAGTTATATTTTATGTTTAAGTTTGAAGAAAAAAAAAATATTTACAAAAAAAAAAAAAAGAATTTCAAACTCACAACCATCTACCACACAACATCCCATACTTAATCATTGCTAATAAGACAGACAAAAACATCTGAATATTGGAGGTTGCAGGATCTTGAGACAGCAGAACAGAAGGGAAAGAATTGGAGAAAAATCACAAAATATGCAAATAGAAGAATGACTGTGGCAAAAGAAAACAAACAGAAATAGGCACCTTGAGTGCAATGCCAAAACATTGGAGTACAACTTGAACATCATCAGCCTTGATAAAAATCATCATCTGTCAATTGCAAAAGGCAGGTTTACTTGAAACAGCTTACATCCTGCGACAATACCTTTAATATTATTAAATAACATCTGTCCATCCCAGGTCCTCGATAGGTGGAGAAAAATGCCAAATCAGTCTAAATATCTGGCTGACTGTGTCAGGGACCATATTTTATTAAATGTATATGGTGCCTGATTTCCAGGGTTTGAGTCAAATTAAGAGACAATTGTAACATTGAAGTTCAGGACAGAATAAAGCATGTTATTTCAAGAAACCTGAACTAATCTCTCATCTATGTCATAGGTGTGTAGGTAAGTAAATAGATATCACAATAATCTGAAACATGCAGTGATTTCTTAAACAATGACATAATGAATGAAAAATGCTTAAAGCTGAAATGTGGATATAGCAAATACAGAATTGAGGAAGTAGGCTTAGCTAAAAAACAGCGATCACCTTCCATCATCCAATGATCTTCTACTGTACAAGCCATTTTAAATCTAATCTCATCACTACAATGCTGCTGTATATAATTCATATTGTGAGGTTTAATCAAATCATCTGATCCAGTCCTGATTATACCCAAGGGTAAAAAAGTTACATTTTCTGCTTTGCTTTCAATATTACTCTTTTACTCCACCACAGATCCTTAGAAGCAACTTAATTACTACAGTCATCCTATGAGGATATTACCTAAAGCTAAATATGTATCTAGAAAGTCTTCTATAATATTAATTCTTAACACTCATTCTACAACTGTTCAATGCTACAACAGCACTAAATAAGGGGGATTTATATCCTAGGACTATAAAGATGTGGTCATTGCAGCATCTCCACAATTATATAATTACAATCCAAGTACTCAGGTGCCTAGATTGTGAATATGATGCTGCAGCAAATTGCAATCATTGGCAACTTTCCCTGCTGGCTTTCCCACAAGCAAAGTCAATGGGGAAGCCAGCAGAAAAACTCGTAAGTCAGTCCTGCTGCTTATTTTCTCAATGTGCCCACAGGGCAGTGGTGAATTCCAAATTTTTTTACTACTGGTCCTATGGGCATGGCTTGGTGGGCATGGTGTGGCCTGGTAGGCATGGCAGGGGAAGGATACTGCAAAATCTCCATTCCCACCCCACTCCAGGGGAAGGATACTGCAAAATTCCCATTCCCTCCCCAATTCTAGGGGAAAGATATTGCAAAATCTCCATTCCCACCCCACTCTGGGGCCAGCCAGAGGTGGCATTTGCCGGTTCTCCAAACTACTCAAAATTTCCATGATCGATTCTCCAGAACCTGTCAGAACCTGCTGGATTTCACCCCTGCCGCAGGGATCTCAGTATTCCCCCCATCTACCCTCATTCCATAATGATCCACACTGCCCTACTGGCCAACTTGCCCACATTATATTACACCAGTCCTCACTCCATAGTATTTGCCCACAACCGTCAACAGGCTAGCAACCAGAAGAACATGAGTTTTAATCCTGCCTTAGACATACAGCCAGCTGGCTGATCTTGGACCAAGTACTTTCTCTCAGTCCTAGGAAGGAGGCAAAGGCAACTCACTTTTCTTGTCAACTCACTTTGACAAGAAAACAGCAGGTTTAGGATTAGGTAAGGAGGTAAGGAGGTAAGGAGAATAAAAATTCAGTTTATTCAGGGAATATTTTGAAGATGTCTGCACTAAGGATTCTTTAGAAGGGAACTGAAATAGAGATTCTTTTAAGGGATTTGGAAAAAATGATTCCATTAAAGAAACCCAAAATTGAAGCTTCTGTTAAAAAAGACCATCACTAGGCTGCAAATAATAAAATAACTGAAATTTATACTATGTTTTTCTCTGAATATCATAGAATTAATATATTCTCATACATACTAAATGTTTAATTATCAACATCAATTTACCATATTTTTCAGAGTATAAGACACATTCCCCCCCCCCAAAGTGGGTGAAAATTTCGGTGTGTCTTATAGACAAAATACGGGCCTGTTTTTTGGCCTCCTGAATCCTCCACTTGTTGCGTTTTCCCCCTCCCCGGCCCCCAAGAAGCATTTTGCAGTGCTCCACATGTCCCGTTTCTGCCAAAAACGGTCCCTTTTGACCTCCTGAGCCCTCCACGCATTGCATTTTTGCCCTCCCTGGCCCCCAGAAACATTCTGCAGTTTTCCACGCATCCTGTTTTCGCCAAAAACTGACCTGTTTTTTGCCTCTTGAACCCTCCATGCATCCCATTTTTGCCTTCCCCGGCCCCCAGAAGCACTCTGCAGTGCTCCACATGTCCTGTTTTTGCAAAATGGGACAAAGTGCTTCTGGGGGCCAGGGAAGGCAAAACGGGACATACGGAGGCCAAAAACTATATTTTTTACTTGTTTTCCTCCTTTAAATCTAGGTGCGTCTTATAGTCTGGTGCGTCTTATAGTCCAAAAAAATATGGTAGTTCTGAAACTAAATAAACTTAAGAATTACATATAAGTTCATATGGATGGAGGGATGAAGGGAGAGACTAAAAATGTAAATTCAGGAATTTTTATCTATAAAAAATACGTATTTTAGAACATTATAATTAAATATAAAGTTTTATAATACATACCACTGAAGATGTTTCACTTTCATTGCTAGTATTTTGTTTATGTATTATCTAGAAGGGATAAAAGAGAAATATATATATGAGAATAAGATCAATTCCCCTAGAATACAATGTGTTCTTTTATTCTATTTCTAAAATAGAAATATTTTTATAGAAAATATAATACGAAACAATTATATGAAAAAGCATTGCAATTTCTTTTCTTTGCAGTTGTTAATTATTAGTATCTGTATAATGAAGCACACTGAAAGAAGGATATTTAGTGGAAAGGTTAATTAAATAGAATTAAATAGAAAATGCTAATGAAGTAAACTAAACAAGATGTTCTTAAAATACATACCATTTGTCAAAACTGCATTCCATAAAAGATTAAAAAATACAGGTCTAAGAGAAACAGGTCTATGTTTCCTGATTAAGTATTTTACTCCACAAAAAACCCCCAGACATATAACTCTCTATTCTTGGTTTCAGAAAAAATCTAAACAGAACCAAGAATGCACAATTGCTTGCAACAATCAATACTTCTATTACTTCACTGTTATAATACCCATGTTTGCAGCACTCACATTCAAGGCTTAATGTGTATATTATTCAAGTATTACAATTCTCAAATCCAAATTAATTTTAGAAAGACTTTTAGAAATAATCCATAATTAAATATAAACATCTTTTAATTGCAAAAATGTATCATCTATATATTTTAATATAAACCACACAAGAATACAAAGTAAAGATTCCCTGAAGTTATTTCTACTTGGCCATATCCATGTAATACAAAGTTTGGGATGTTGCTTACTTATGATTAGTCATTTAGGGGATCACAATGTCATAAAAAGGGAGTTACTTAAGGGATCAGTAATATGATCCTTCAGTTATGAGAACAATGATTTATGACTATAATTCTGGGCACAATTAAGGCCATAAATCAAGGATTACTTGTAGTTTGCCATTCCCTTATTTCACGATTTTTTTTTTTTCAAAGTCTCAATCTAATCTACTATCAGAAGTTTCCTACTGAGCTGGCATCCAAATATTTACCTTGTTCAACATTGCTTGGTTTGTTTGAGATCAGCCAAGTTCTACTAGGTACTATCAAGTGCTAGTCTGTGGCACAGTTCTTGACTGCCAATTATTTAGTGTTGATGGTCAATACAAAAAGGCAAAAGCTATCCATTGATAATTCTAAAGCTAGCTGCTGTACAGTTAAGAAACAATATATTAAAATACATTTAATTAAAAGACAGTTAATCTAATAGATTAGATTTTTATGATACAAAGATGAAGAATGCAGCCTACATTCTTAATCATTTAAATTAAAATATAATTCTCATTACACTTTAGAATTAATACTTGAGGAACAGTATTTAAGAGTAGATATTTACTGTCTGATGTTAATACACATAAATTATTTCATATTCCTTAGGAACAAGCACTGAAACAGCTGTTTGAAATAATCGCATAGGTTTTTTTGTTGCAAAATTTTATAATCCATATTAAGCAGCAAGATTGGCGGTAGTTCTTGATTTGTTGTGTGTCTGTGCTGTCCTTTGGGATAAGTGATATTAGTGCCTCCCTCCATATCTGTGGTAGTTTAAATTGTTCCAGTGCTTCGTTATATAAATTCAACAGTAATACTTCCAGTGGCCCCTGTATTTCCTTATAGAACTCGGAGGGGATTACATCAGGTCCCGGTGTTTTATTATTTTTTTGTTTCTGAATAGCCTCCTTCATTTCCGACATAGTAATTCTATTATTTAACATTTTCTTCATTTCCTCTGGTACCATCAGAAGGTCTCTATCTTTCAAATATTTCTTTATATCCCCTTCCTCTACCTTCTAGCTATAGAGTGTTTCAAAATAATTATGGGCTATTCTCTTTTTTTCCTCTAACCCACTGTTGGATGTTCCCCTCGTTGTCCTGTAGTTGTGTTATTAATCTCTTTTCCTTCTCCTTTTTTAATTTGTGGGCCAACCATCTCCCCGGCTTATTAGCATGTTCAAAGTGTATTTGCTTTGCTGTTTTAAGCTTTTGGGCCATTTCCTCTTGGGAGAGCAAATTTATTTTATATTTGGTCAAATCCCTTTGCTCTCTGGTTCTCTTATCCAGGGATGTCTGCATTTTACATTCTAATTCTTCCAATTTCTCTTGTAGATCCAATTGTTGTTTCTTTTTTTCTCTATTTCTCCTTCTCTCATATGCAATTGTTAGGCCTCTGACATAAGCCTTGGTTGTATCCCAAAGGTTCTGTAAGGTCATATCCTCATTTAGATTCTCCTTCAAGAAGAAATCCAGTTCTTTTCCCATCCATTCTATATACTTTTTTTTCTTTTATCACTTTTTGATTCATGGTCCATCTTCCTCTTAATTTAGGTCTTCCTTTCCATTTTAGTAATGGGCTATGATCCGCCCATATATTAGTTGCTATTTCTACTTCATCTATATTTTTAATTAATTCCAAATCCATCCAAATCATATCTATTCTGGACTATGAATCATGTGGGTTAGAATAAAAAGTATGTTGTTGGGTTTTTTTGGATTTTGTTCTCTCGACTTATCTTTTAGATTCACCTCTTGCACCATATCAAAAAAAGTAGATGGCAGTATCTTCCTCTGTTTTTAATTTTTCTTTCCTGATTTATAATCTAGTTTTGGATCTACGACCAAATTAAAATCCCCCAATAAGCAAATATTTTCACTTTCCAATTCCGATATCTTTTTATGTAATTTGTAATAAAATTCCCTTTGTCTAGTGTTTGGGGCATTATATTATCTTTGGAAATATTGTTAATTCAAATTAGGAAAAATCAAACAATAAAAGGTTTGAAAGTTAAACAGGAGGAATACAAGGTCCAAGCATTCGCAGATGATCTAGTTTTTATTATGGAAGATCCATTGGCGACGGGAACCATCTTGATAAATGAAGTTGAAGAATTTGGTAAAGTAGCGAGGCTTAAAATAAATAAGGAAAAAACTAAAAAGTTAACGAAGGATTGTACAAAATGATAACAGGAAGAATTGGGATTCAAACTGCTAAAAAGGTGAAATATTTAAAAATTTAGCTTACAGCAAAATGTTCTACAATAAAAGAAGACAATTATGATAAATTAATGCAACAAATTCAAAAAGACTTAGCTATTTGGGCCAAATTACAGTTATCCTTAATAGGAAGAATAGCCGCGATAAAGATGAATGTATTACCTAAATTATTATATCTTTTTCAATCAATACCAATTAGAATAGGGAAACCATTTTTTGAATATTTAAATACAATGATAGGTAAATTCATTTGGCTGGGGAAAAAAGCCCAAATAAACTGTATACTTCTGCAGGACTCCAGAACCAAAGGAGGATTTGGCCTATCCGATTGGGAATTATATTATCAGTCAGCTGCAATTACTTGGTTAAAAGATTGGATTCAATTAAGAAATAAGAGAATATTAATATTGGAAGGCCATGACCTCCAATTGGGATGGCATGCATTCCTTTGGGAAGGGAAAATTAAGACACATACAACCCTCCAGAGACATCTAGTGCGAAATGCTTTGATCGATATTTGGAATATTATAAAGAAAAATAATTATATGCAAGTTCCAGATTGGATATCAATGGTGGGGGCCATATCTATCCCATTGTATTGGATTTAAATAAAATACTATGATGATATTCAGACCTATTAGATGAAATTGGAAATTTAAAGTCAGAACAGGATCTAATAAAACAAGAAATAAAAATTGATTGGTGGCCATACTTACAGATCAAAACAAAATATAAAAAAGATAAGGAACAATTTGGCATATACAGGGAGCAACTGGAACTTGATAATATATTGGGGGGCGGGGCTGGCGTCGCTGACGGGACGACAGGAAGTTTTGGAGGTCCGAAACCACCGCCGATATCTTCACCGCTGGACGGTCCAAATTGGACCTCACTGTCCCGTAGAGACAGTGATAGAGGAGAGCACATCCTGCTGATCCCAGGGATACTGCAAAGTCTCTGGTTCATCCAGGAGAAGCTCTTTTTTCCGGCTCTGAAGAGGCAGCCATTAAGTAGCTGAAGTAGGGACAGCCCCGAATGGAAGAGAATGATTGAAAGTGTTACGATCTGGTGAGAGGCTTTTTATTTGGACTTTAAGAACACCCTGAAGTGCAAATACAATTAGAATTGAAGGTAGAAGTAATTTAGCAGCAGAATTGAGTAAATTTAAGTTAATTTTCCTAAAACATAAACTATTTTCATTTGTGGATGCTTGTGGAAAGTTTTATTTTTAAATCTGACTGGACTGGATTGGAAAGGAGATTTTCTTTTTTATTTGCTTAAATATTAGATTTTTGGTGCTTTTTGAGTTTATAAGTATTTGGATTGGCTTTGTTATTCCCTCTTTTGGTTGATTTTTACATTTTAATTTCCTTTTACATTAGCTCTATTGTAAATCAGAGATAGAAGAAGTGGAATAAACAAGAAATATTGCCACCTAGTGGATTGAAACATTGTATTTTTTGTCTCTTTTTTTTATTGATTAAAAAAGTAGCAACTTGTCCCTTTTTTCAAAGTCAAGATGCATGTCTATAGATAAAATTTAGAAGAGCATCAAAGAGTCTTTGCAGTTGTTTATACAGGTGCTCTTTGGAGAAAATATTGCTGATAGGTGGCTAAAACTTGAAAGAAGAAGAAAACAGCGACTCTGGGAAGAAAGCTGTAAAATTGAGAGAGGTATATGAAAGAGCCGTTGAATGCTACACAGTTGTGGACTTTTAAGTAGGATAGAAAGTTTTCCTTTTTCTATTTCCACTTCTTCATTATTTAATTATTTTTTTCTTTTTTTTATTTTTCTTTTTCTTTTCTTTTTGTTTTCTCCTTCTACTCTTCCACAACAAGTGACTCTTCAGTTGGATTAAGGCTTACAAGAGCCTGAAGAAACTATATTTTGGACTTTTTTTTTTTCTATTTATCATTCTTTTTTCTCTCTTTAATTTTTTCTTTTTATATTCTTTTTCTTTTTCCTCTACTGATGGGAGGCTGTTATTTAAATTTGTTTTTTACCTTGTTATTT